CGTGAAAAAAAAAAAAGAATCTAGGTCGTGCTAAATCAGACTTCTATAAACCAAGATTAAATTTTCAATCATAATCTTCATCTATGTTTCGTCTCCCTTCAGAACTCTGGTGACCATAGCTATCTACAACTTCTGTTCCTTAAGCGCTTAGTAAAGTGTTTTTTCTTCTATATCTCTGTTATAGCATACTTACGGAGGATAATGTCTATGTCAACGTTCACATTAATACAGTAGTAAATACTGTTTGTTCGTCTGCAGTCGGAGATTCGTCTCCAGTTGTGCTAATCAAATGCTGTGCTTCCGAGCACTGAGGATCCCCAGACGAGTCTATGTCAAAGGGTAGAGTCTCGTCTCGGGAAACAGCTACCTGACACCGTTTTATACGAGTTCTACGGGGAAAATTTGGTCGAGCCTATGGGCTCGGATACCCCACATTAAATTCGGCCTTGTGCCACATCTGACCGCGTGGGGCGGTTGGTAGATATCCTGCATTTGGAGATTCATTGTGGAATTCACTTGACTCACTTCTAGCAGCTAACTACTTCTTCGCTGGCGAATCTTATATGTGTTGTTCTTGACTTAAGTATTATTGTTCATTACCAACCTTCGTGTGATTATTCTATTCAGTAATCTCCCCTAGGTTACAACAATCTCCTAATCCTGTTCTGTCAAATATTTAAACAGCAGTTAGGATACGCACTGCATTTCGCTGTGCCGCTTGCCTTGTGGGTGTCAAATTTTCCAAGCCCTCTTTCCTTATTATGTAATATTGTAATTTCTTCTTACTCTTTCTGAAGCTACATTTAAGTGTCCTTTTCATTTCTACTTTCTCTAAAACTTCATCTTTGCTCACGTGTTCAGTCCATGTTATTCTCAGCATCCTTCTGTAGAACCACATTTCTGTAACCTAAAGTCTTTTCTTCATCTGTAAAAAAATTGACCAGTATTCACCGCCATATAGGAAGACTGATATTACATAACAGTTAAGCGCTATTTTCTTTGTTTCTGACGATTTTTTTTCCATTTCTTAATACTTTGCTTAGCTTTTGAAAGGCATCGTTCTGTCATAATGCGCCTTCGGATTTCGGTATCCCACATTCCGTCCTCTGATATTCAAACTGTTGCATTTGTTGCATTTGCGTTTATATGGCACTATTCAACTTTGCTTTTACATCGACGCACTTCGTCGCCGAGATAGTCTAAATCAGGGCTCGGCAACTTTTTGCTATGTGCAGACTTAGGGTTTTAAAATCATTCAGTGTGCCAACAGCATACGTATTTTTATACAAGTCAAAGTCAATTTAGCTGTTCTACACTCGTAACCAGATATATATTTTATATAGTAATATAAACAATAATATGTAAACCACGTTAATAGAAATAAACTGTTTTTAAAACGTTTTTTTTATTTATGTGAGTTCAACGAGTGAGCAGTTTTGAACTAAATATCTTCTTTGCGTTGTAGTAGTTAATGGTTCTGACTTCGTGATGTCATTTGCGGTTGCGTGCCATGGGAAATTGCTTGGCGTACCATGTGTGGTACGCGTGCCGTAGGATGCCGACACCTGGTCTAAAGCATGTCGGAACTAACGGCGGTTTCTCCTAACCAGAGGGACGCAAGTTTGAATACTGCCAGAGAGCGCATATTTTTCTTTCATAGGATTTCTCGACTATTATATTTAACAGCACCACCACAAACCCCACGACGAGGGATGTATGTAGTACAAGGCCGAGTTTACCGTAGGTTCTCCGAGCCCGTAGGCTCGGCCAAAAATATTCCCTTAGAACCCGTCTAAACGGGTTCAGGGACTGTCTACCTCCCCGGACGAAACTTTGCTCTTCGGCAAACCCTCGTCCGGGTTCCTCTCTGCTCAAGGCAGAGAGTTTGACAGATAAAGGATTTTTAGACTGTTCGAGCATAATAAATATGAGGTTTCATAAATAAAAGCACAGCGTCTATTCAAATATGAGTATCCACTAAAATAACACTTAAGTAACAATAAAATATATGGGATTAATGAGCAAAACTCACCACTGTAAAAAAAATGCTTTGTTTACTTTAGGGTATGAAGATGAACAGATAAGTATATTACGAGAGTCTGATAAAAATTTGCATTTATAAAGCACTATTCAAATTTGCTGGATCATGTTCTAAATCATGTAGGAAATAACGACGTTTTCCCTACCCCTACTCAGGTTCAAATACTGCCATAGAGCGCATGTTTTTCTTTAATAAGATTTCTGGAACATTCAGGCCGTTAGACGAAAATAAACAAATATATTGTTTAATAAATGAAAACGGAACGTCTACTCAGATATGGGTATCCACTAAAAATAAAACACTTAAGTAACAATAATTTGCTAGAGAACAGAAAAGAAAACTCCAGTTAACTCTAACCAATCGCGTCATGTAGAATTTCTGTTAAATCAGGGTTTTACCTAAAACAGCGCCGATTCAATCACAAACACATTAAACAGGCATATTAACAGATAGCCACGAAAACATTAATGAAATTAGTGTAGAATTAATATAATGTATAAAGAAAATTATTTCTTTTAGCTGAGGAGCGACAGAAATCAAGTTTGGCCAAATTACCTTACTTTTTTTTTTGTTTTTGTTTCTTTTTTTTTAAATGAGAAATATCTTCGAATCACAGGTTGTGAAACTTTAATTTTGACTGATGAGGTGTTTTCAACTTGGAAATTGTCTGCTTATTGCAAATTGGTTTTTCATTTCTAGCTAATTTGGCTGTCAGTTTCCTTACACATCGCATTCAATCAAAATATTTGCAAAAAAAGCAAAAAAAAAAAAAAAAAAAAAAGAAAAATTGAAATATCTGTATCTGTTTACTATTCAGGAAAAATTTCCAGGGTCTTTTCCCCTTAAAATGGATAGTCATGAATTAAATAGAAGAGAACTGAAAACTGGTGAAATTATCCGTAACTCAGTCTTAGTGGGATCTAACTCTATTAATTATTAAGAAGGGTGAATACAGTCCCTCCTAGCATTTCTATTTGAAACCTTACATAATCTTCTCCGCTGTTTTCTTAGAATTCATACTAGAATTTGTTATAAAAGACTATGCTTTTTCAGTAAATATATATTTCTACAAATAAACGCTGTTCCAATAAATTGAACCGATTTTAAATGTGAATTAAGTTTAAGCGTCTAATCATTTTTTTTTCCTTTTCTTTCAGATTTAACAACTTAAGTCTTTGGCAATTTGAATCATGGGAAGATTAACAATCAAATAACGTGTGAAAGTTATCGAAGCCTACTACCAAAATAGACGTTCAAATTTATAAATATATGGACCAATGATTCCTCTGGCAAAAAATAAATAAATAAAATAAAAAAATATGCACACCAAACAGTGACTTTTTGTGGATGCAGTGACTTTTCAACAATCTTCCTTGGATTTTCGTCAGCCCAGAAGCGAAAATTCTGCTTATTAACGAATCCACTAAGATGAAAATGGGCTTCATCATTAATGAGGATTTTTTTGCGAAAAATCTACATCGTATAAAAAACTTAATCAAAGCACCTGTCATATTTAATGAAACTTGAATGAAAGAAGTATTGTTGAAAAATTGTTGCTATATATATATATATATATATATATATATATATATATATATATATATATATATATATATATATATATATATATATATATATATATATATATATCAATGGTGGTACTCGCTTGGAAACACCTTGGATAGTTTGATTCGTAGTAGAACAAATCGGTACCCAAGTAAAAATGAAGAATAAAAAAAGAAAGACCCAAGAACATTAAACTAAGGCGAAAACAATCGTCCAGAGTTCAAGCTCAAAGACCAAAAAAAAAAACTCTAAAACGAGTAAACGCAACTGCGTAAAGTGCTCAATACACGAAGTAGAGCAAATCTAAGATAAACCTAATGAGCCAGGCATTATTATATTCGTTTTTTTTTTTTTTTTTTTTGTCACGTGGTCATGGTTGTTTTTGGTTTAAGCTATATATTCTGTTCCATTATTTTCCTTTTCGGACAGAATTGCCCAAACGATCCGTTTAGGTGAAACCTAGGTAGGTTTGCCTGGCTCATTAGGTTTATCTTATATATATATATATATATATATATATATATATACAGTAAGTTGGACCCTGAGTTTAAATGTGAATTATATTTAAGCGTGTCAAATGATTTTTTTTCTTTTTCTTTCAGATTTAACAACTTAAATTTTGGCAATTTCAACCCTGGGAAGATTAACAATCAAACAACGTGTTAAAGTTATCGAGGCCAATTACGAAAATAGACGTTGAAACAGAAATGCATTTCACGCACTTTGCGATTTTTTGGGGTCAATATAATCGACCAACCGAGAGTGCAATTGGAAACGATGTAACGTTATTGTGGACAGGTTCAATTTCTGCACGCGATGACGAATAGAGATGTCTGGATTTTCGGCCACATTCTCGTGCAGTGCAGCCAAGTTTTCAGCTGAACGGCGCAAACGAGAACGCAGTGGTGTTTTCACATCTGCCACCGACCCA